CAAAAGTCACGTCTCACAGCAATTCTCCAATTCAGCTTATCACTGCTGCTGTCTTCTCAAATCATGTTCTACATTTCACCAGGTAGGGAGAGGTCTCTCTTCTCTGGTTGGGCAAAGAATCCCATTCTCTTCTGGCAGGAGAATAATTCCTTCTCTTCTGATAGACGAAAAAAAATTCTGCTGATGGGGGAAAATTTTATCTCTACAACTAGAGCTCTTCAATTTATTAGTGAGACTAGCCAACCCCCTTGTAGATGGTTGAGACTGGCCAATCTCCTTGTGGAATGGTAGAAGGCCAACCCTTTTGTGGATAGACTAACACACTCCCATTTACATAGTCCTGCTCGTCTGCATAACAACATCAGATAAGGACTAGGGAAGTCATACTGAAAGACAAACTCCATACTCTATTCACATATTTGGCACTCCTTTTGGCCACTCTAGGAGATGCTGAACACGACATCAATGTCATTCTTTCTCTCTGTGCCACTCCAAAGAACCAAGTCCTCCCCTGATTCACAGTTTCTGGGTGCTGATCTCCAGTTACTCCCCTAGTCCAGGAGGGAGAGAATCTTCTCCCAGAGAACCCAAAAGTCTTACTGCATCCAGCTACTCATAAGCCGAGTAGCTGCCAGAGTCAAGAGTTAGAGGGTAAGATGGAAGGAACCTCATATGCAAAGAAACCACATGTCTTCACATGGTCACTTAATAGTCACTTAACAGACAGAAATCCTCACCACTGGACGGACCAATAGGCAACATCATGATAAGAGTAGAAAAGATTGAGACTGTCAACAACTTCATCTTACTTGAATCTAAAATCAATATACACTTGGTAGTAGCAGTCAGATGATGACATTTGCACTGGGAACGTCTGTAGTCAGGGACTTATCCAAATTATTGAGAATCAGTGATTTCTGTTTGAGTGCTAAGTTGCTCCTGATTTGGGCCATGGTCTTTTCAGTCACTTGCTATCCATCTGAGAGCTGAACAATGAATAAGGATGACAGAAGAAGAACTGATACCTTTAAGATTGATTGATACCTTCTACTTTGTTGGAGAAGAGAGCTGACTATTACACGGACTGCCAAAAGAACAAATAGGAAGGTACAGCCAGAGTGCTGCTTGGAGGCAAAGATAATGAAGCTTCTTCTCACAGAGCAACATAACATGTTGCTAGGAGAGATTATTTCTTGGAGAAACACATCATACTTGGAAAGGTGGTGGGATGACAAAAGAGGGAAAGACCCTCAACCAAGTAGATTGAACAGTGACTGTAGCAATGGGATTGAGTGTGTTAGAGATTGTGAGGATTACGCAGGATAGGCGAAGGTTCAGATCTGTTGCTCATAGGATCAATATGATTCATACTCAACTTCACAGCACATAACAACCACATTACTCTGCGAAGGAGCCCGGATGTTATAATGGTTAACCACTTGGATGCCAATTGAAAGGCTGACGGTGCAAACCTACCCACCACTCCCTTGGGAGAGTGACTTGATGATTTACTGCCGTAAAGACTATAATTTGAATCTTATGGGATAATTCTACGTTGTCACGTGATGTTGCTATGAAAGTCAGAATCAAACTAACAGCATCTACAACACTGATTGGCTTTTTGTGTTCCATCTTTGAGTTTTCTGAGCAGAAAGCAGCACTCCATTGGTACTCATGCAATGATCATAATTTGTTCAGGTGTTTGGGGATTGAGAGTTTTTATTTTGTTCTCCATTGCAGTGGTGGGAAATGTTACTCCAGAATAAGACTTATCTGACTTGTCAGAGGGCAGTTCCATTGCTTTTATCAATTCTTTCACTGGTTAATAGGGTCTTTTCTATGTCAAGCTCAAGACTTTATAACAAACATCGCCAGCACCAGGGTTATTATACTTAGAATTTCTCTCACCCATTAAAACAATCCATTTAAATTTGGTCTTACTTTTTCATAAAGGAAAAACAGGAGGAAGGCAGTGTTTGTCTTTTCTCCATTGTTTTGTATATGATTCAAGAATAAGGGAAACTTGGCAGAGAATGCGGCAACTTTTCCTTCACTCGCAAGTGAACGGCTTTCAAACTGAACTGCCAGTGCATGGGGTTCCTGAAGGGAAGGGAGCCTGTTGATTTAGGGTCCTATTTCCCCTTTCTTCCACTGAAGCAGCAACCTTTTCATTGAAGTTGTTTACACTTTGTAAGATTCCATTCAAACACGTTTCTCTGGTTCAAACAAGTTTGAAAAACACTCCTCTAAGATTATTCAGGCTCAGTTTTCGGTTTCCTAGCAACTCAATTTAGTCTCTTCTCTAATCCAAAATACTCTCCTATCTGCCAACTGTAACACCATAATCCAATTTGAGTCCTCCAAAACGGTTCTTCTCCATTAAATGGTGTATTTTATGCCGATGCTAAAGGGCTTATTGCTATAAATATGTGGCAATGCCATGATTCATGCTTCTAACAGCAACAGCATTTGTGCGCCTGTAAATGGAAATAGTGCACTCTCTAAGCTCACCAGAATGACAGTGGTGGTGCGATGAATGGAATGGGTGGTGCAAGCAGGTGACGGTGATATGTCCACCTATTAAAGGAAAATTGGAGGTTTAAGTCTACCCAGAAGCACCTTGGAAGAAAAACCTGGTGATTTATTTCTGAAAAATCAGCCTTTGAAAATCCTGTAGGATGTGGTTTGATAAGTCGGGTCACTGTGAGTTAGAGATGACTCGACGTCAACTGGGTAACTGGATTTCATGTTCACTAGATAACCTTCTCCAGAGTGAAGAAGGCACTGGTGAACAGATTGCAGGGTCTGCGTGGGTTTTCCCTTAAAAAGAAGCAGCCATAGAAAGGCCTATGTCTCCACATGCTGCTGTCTTCCTCCACACTCAGGAATCACCTCCTCCTCGTCTATGTGGGTAAGTGCTGCTTGCTTGGGGAGGTTTTTTTCCTGACCCCTGAGCTCAAAGCATGGCTAATTCTCTGTTCTTTATTTCTCCTTAGTACTTTTTATGACAAAGGTAAAGACTGTGGTGTTTCCTTTCTAAACTCTTAACTCAGGCAAAGAACACGTGAAGATCTTGTTCTTGGTAACTTGTTAACTATTAGTAGGGTGGGTGGATGGATGGATAGATAAATTAATGAATGAATCACCAATGTCTTCTGTCTTCGGTAATCACCAAGCATTTTACCAATGGCTGCAGTGAACAAGTTGCAATCCGTGCTGGACATTATGGGGAATTCAGTGAGCGACTCTAACCTACAAAGAGCTTATTATTTAGTTGGGAAAATGAGACACAAAGATAAACAACTATCAGTGGCAGATTAGCAACTGACTTCCTGGTTCCTGGTTTAACAGAGGCAAGCACATGAGCAAGTGGCTGGGTGTGCAGAATTCAGAGAAAAGAGGGTTTGAAGCTACAAGTTCATTAGTAGTAGTAGTAGTAGTAGTATAGTAAAAAGATACATAATAGTTTACTATTTTAATCTTTTTTAAGTTAAAAACTAAGAAAGTTAATTTCACTTGCTGTTATAAAACTATCACCATTATCCAATTACTAGTGTGTTATTGTACTGAACATGAACTCAGTACCCCTTAAGTATTAAGTAATAAATCTCTATTTCTTCCCCAGCCCTGAGCAGCCAGTAATAACCTTTTGATTCTCTGTATTGGCCTATTCTAGATATTTTATATGTCTTATATATGTGGGATTAAACATGTATCCACCTTATTTCACTCAGCAAACAATTCCGAAGTTCACTCATCTGGTAGCATGCATTCTGATGAAGGTAGAATGAGGGAGAGCATTACAGCAAGACAAGGGTATGGGCACCATGTTTATAGGAATGCGCAAAACTTCTTCATTCAACCAACTCTTTTTGGACATTTATTCTGTGGTAGTAGGTACTGTGCTTGCCCTGGGATACAGTGATGAGTTGGAAGTAATGCTTTGACCCTCAGAGAGTTCACATTTTGGTGAGGAAAGCAAATAACAGAAAGATACATGATATCCACATCAGATAATGATGAGTACTATAGGGGGAAATTAAACAGGTGGTGGGATAGTGACAGGGTCACTACTTTACATTGGGTGACCTGGGCAGAGGGGGCTTTGGTGACCTGGTCTGTAAGGAATTGCACTACTAAACCAAAGGTCATACCTCTCTGGAAGCTCAAATCCACCAGGGTCTCTGCAGGAGAAAGGTGGGCTTCAGAAACCCAACGGAGGGTCAGTTCTGAGTAGGTTCCAACTCAACAGCAATGAGTGAGTGAGTGAGTGAGTGATCAGGGAAGAACTCACAGCCAAGTAACAAGACATTAGACATGCCAGAGTCTGGGAGAGGAGACACGGATGGAGTCTGAATTCACAAAATGCCCAGAAAAAATTTAACATACATACTCAAGAGGCAAGAAAAAAAAAATGCCAATGAGGCAGAGTTTATGAACAAGGGACAGGGTGGTTCAGGATGTGCTCAGGGAGGTGGGCAGAGCCAACCCATAAAATCTCCATGGCAAGTACATGGGGGTTTGCTAAGAATCATGGAGGGTCACTGGAAGGTTTTAAGTAGGAAATGAACACATTTAAGCAGAATGTCATTCTCTTTGAGGGAAAAAAGGGGCGGGAAGACCAACCAGGTATAGCCCTGGTGCAGAAACAGTCCGGGAGACGGATTGAAGTCTAGATTGTTTATGATTTTCACACAGAAGTCCTCAAATGTCAGAAAAAGCAAACAGAGATGTGACATGTGGGTTGAGTACAATTCCTGCTTCAGAGCCAGGATTGGTGGCAGGCAGAAGAGGCGTGAGGTGAGGGCGGGGCCTCACCAGTGCCCTCTGCTTAAGAGGCCAAGAGGCAAGGACATCTCTACTGCCTGTTCTCTTCTCTGAGCCTCAGGACGTCTGCTCTTAGACTTGGGAAGGATTCATATTACTTGAACCCAAGTCCTTTCTGCTCATTTTGGAGACCATTTTCTCCTAGAGTTGTTAAGGTGAAGCTTCTAAGTGCAATGCCTTGCCCCACAAGATCAGATGAGTTGGTGTTCTTTGTGAATGGGAGGAAGGTAAGTGTTAGATGAGACTGCCATGGTTGGCTGGTAGAAGAAGCAGGAAATTACTAGATTGGGGGCAGCTACTGTGGCCCATTAGGACAAGCAAATTTGTGCCTCAAATGAGGTATAAATGGTAAGATCACAAGGCTCCTAACAGAAAACTGAAGGCTTGAGTTCATACAGAAGTGCCTCAGAAAAAAGTTCTGGGATCCTTTTAAGAAAACTCGGCCAGTGAGGACCTGTTGGAGTACAGCTGTACTCCGCCACAAGAGGGGCTACCTGACTAAGGGCAGTGGTTTTGGGTAGCCAGGGACTCTAAGAATCTCTCTACCTCACTCCCGTTCAGCCAGGACTCCCCGCCGAGGAGTGTGGCAAGGGGGTAGCAAAAAATGCTGGCTTTAATTGTGTGTGCTTTAGTATGGGACAGCTTCAGTTCCAAACCCATTCTCCCTTTTACTGTGTAAACTTGGGCCAGTTACATCACCTCTCTGAGACTCGAGTCCTCATCTTCGCAACCCACTTCCTCAGGCTTTTGTAAAGATGTTTTAAAGGACTTCAGCTTTCAGTCATTAAGCCTCCTGTCCTGGAGAGGGTGAAACCATGTTTTTCAACTGGAGGTAAGAATTTTGAAGCTCTGTCTCACATACTTTGAGCATGTTGCTAGAAGGGACCAATCCTTGGAGAAGGATATCATACTTGGAAGGGTGGAGGGACAGCACAGGAGATGAAGACCTTGGATGAGATGAATTGACACAGTGACTGTGGCAATGGAGGCAGATGTGTCCAAGATTGTGAGATTGGCTCGGGATAGAGCAGAGCTCATCACTATTGTACATAGGGTTGCTGTGAGTCGTAGTCAACTTAAGGGCACTTATTGTTGTTGTTGTTGTTATGTGCCGTCGAGTCGCTTGCGACTCATAGCGACCCTATGTACAACAGCCCTAAACTCCACTCTGTCCTGTGCCAATCGCACTGTCTCTGACACTCCCATCCCCATTATCCCAGTCACTGAATCAATCTACCTCATAGAGGGCCTTCCCCTCCTGCGCTGTCTCTCCACCCTCCCAAGCATGATGTCCTTCTCCAAGGACTGGTCTCTCCTCACAACATGTCCAAAGTATGCTTGACGGAGCCTCAGAATCCTTGCCTCGAAGGAGTCAGCCAGTTTAACCCTTTCCAGGACAAATCTGTTTGTTTTCCTAGCAGTCCATGGTATTCTCAGTACTCTTCTCCAGCACCACAGCTCAAAGGCATCAATTCTCCTTCTATCCTCCCTGGTCATTGTCCAACTCTCTGATGCATAACAAGTGACTGCGAAGACCATGGCCTGTATCAGACGCACCTTAGTCTCCAGAGAGACACCATTGCTCTTCAGTACTTTGGAGAGGTCCCTAACAGCAGACTTTCCCAAGGGCACTTATTACGGGGTCCAATGCCTGCAAAGTACTTTATCCAGTAACATATCCTCAAATTTAGATAGATGAGAAATGGAGCTCTGTTTACCTATTTTTTTTTAAAAATCAAGCCCATTGCTGGCAAGTCAATCCGACGCCCAGGAACCTTGAAAGTTGGAGTGTAACTGCCTCATAGGGTTGCCAAGGCTGTAAACACTACAGAAGCAGACTGTCGCATCTTTCTCTTGTGTATTTTTTTTTTATGTCAGTCAACTTAGTGTTCCTGTCAAGTCCTCATAATACAGGATTAATTGAAATGTGACCCCAGTTGCTGTGATGGGAGGGGGCTGGAGACACGGTTTTTTCATTACTGTTTTCTCCTGGCATCACACTACATGCCACCTTCTCTCTCAAACTACCATTGAACCTTCAGTTTTCTTCACTAGGGCCCCTTTGATCAGGAGTCTCTATTTGCCTCTCAAGGAAACATTCTGCTGCTCCCAGGATGCACGTCTTCACTGGGACCTTGCCACCTCCCCTTCAAGACCCCTTAGTTCTCGGAGCATGTTAATCTAACTAGGGTTTGGCCATACCCATCCCCACACTCTCCCTCCTAACTCTCTTGTCCAGTCTCCATGACCAACAGCCAGCACGCAGTCTCCGGAAGCTACTGTTTGTGAGCTGAGTCCTTACTGTTCACTCCTTTGGCCCGAGGCTTTGAGGACTCAAAAGCCAGAAGTGACTCTTTATGCTCCATTCTGCTCCACATCATTTCCTGAGTCAGGAACCCAGAATGAAGAAGTAGCAGTCAAGACAAGTCATAATTTTAGGAGTTGAAAACAATGTATGTGTGGAAGGCAGAAGTCAACTAACATTTTGAATATATTATCCAGCCCCAGTCTCAGTGAGCACTTTTTGTTTATTGTGTTTCACACTAAGTCAACACTTTTTTAGAAGCATGGGATAGGAGGAAAGACAGGCAGAAGAGAGCTTTTTCTTTCAAAAAGAGTGTAAAGCTGTCAACCCAGAGGAAGGCAGTTTAAATCCATCAGCTGGTTCTTGATGAAAAGGTGGGAAATAACCTCCTCCCATGTAATTTACAGCCTCTGAAAACCCATTTTCAGAGACGCATAAATGCAACGACTCAACGGAGCAGCTATGAGGAGCAGAGATCCAAACAAATCTGCCTTGCAAGAAAGGCAGCCGGAGAACTCTTCAAAAGCGAGGGTAGTGAGAACTTTCATCGCACATAGTTTGAGCATGTTAGCAAGAGTGACCAGTCCCTGGAAAAGGACACGATGTTTGAGAAAGTGTCCGGTCAGCAAAGGAGAGGCAGACCCTCAATAAGACGTGCTGACACAGTGAGCACAGGGATGGAGTTGAGCACAGGGAAGATCATGGAGATGACACGGAATCGGACAGGGGTTTGTTCTGTTGCATTTAGGGTCACTGTAAGAGATGCAAATAGTGTGGCATCTAACAACAACAACAACAACAGAGATTCAGAGAGGGAGCCCTGGCAGCACAGTGCTAACCAAAAGGTCAGTGGTTTGAACCCACTAGCTGCTCCACAAGAGAAAGATGTGGCAGTTTGCTTCTGTAAAGATTTACCATCTTGGAAATCCTGTGGGACAGGCCTGCTTTATCTTGTAGGGTCACTGAGTGGGAATAACTCAACAGCAATTGGTTGGGTTGGTTTTTTGGTAGAGATCCAGAAGGCAGTTGAATTTTAATAGCTCATCTTTCTATGCTTCTTTTCCTTTCTGAGATCTAGAAAAGACTGTCTTTCTTCTGGAAAGAAAGGGAAAATTAGCCCACTATCTCTTCCTTTCTCTGATATAACAGAAGGAATGTCTAGAGGTGTTTGCAGGACACCTTAAGACAAAGTCAAGGAAAACAACCAAAATAGGCAATGGCAAAAGAAGCCACAAATAAGGCTCTTGAATGTTGAGCCACCACTTTCCAAGGTGAGAGAGAGAGGGAGGAAGTCTCCAACTGGAGGAACAATCGGTGTGGAGCTGGGACATTGTGTTAATGGGTCAGTTCTGGAACCACAATAAGGTGACAGCAACTTCCACACCTTCCTCACTTGCCATCAGTTTTAAGATTTTCCTAGAGAAAACCAAACCTATGGCCACCAACTTCATTCTAACTCATAGCGGCCTTACAGACAAACTAGAACTGCACTTCCATAGATCCAAAGGCTGTAATTGTTTACAGAAACTAACATCTTTCTCCCATGGATAGCTGGTGGCTGCAAAGCACCGATCTTTAGTGTAGCATCCCAGGAGAGCATTGTTGCCACATTTGCTTTGTGTGACTCCCGCTCCATAAAGGTGTGTCAACACCGGCTGCCTCTAGAGCATAAAAGCACAGGGTCTCATGTTGAACCACAGTCTCTAAGTCAAACAGACCGCCCCAGTAACCTCTTTGCTCTCGCCAACACAGGTGATCGAGAGGGATGCAGACCCAGAAGTGACTCTCCTAACCTTCCTGCGAAAGAATTGGATCCTTTTTGTCAAAATCTTGGCTTTGTCTATGTTTGCTTAAAAACTTAGACCAGCTGTAATTACAGGAACTAATCAAATCCCTCCACACCCCAAACAGCTAGTTCCCTTAACCTTTTCTCCTTATTTCCTTTTGGCAATGGTTTTAAGCATATTAGGCTAATGAGACACTTAAGGAGAGGACAAAGTTTCTCATAGCTTGATTTAGCATTGAGTGAAATGTAAACTAAGCTCTTTACTTCAACACTAGTATTCCCACGGGGGTGACCAACCCCCTCTGTAGCTGTTGTGTAACAGAGGGTTGTGTTGCACATGCCCTGCCCTTAAGGGAAACCAAGTTCTCTAGATTCCGTGACAGCCTTTACCATAGAAAGTCTTTCTTTCTCCTACATCTATCTTCATACACAACAGCTTCCCTGCCATTTTACATTCTGAAATACAGGGTTTTTTCCATTATGGTAAACACACTACAAATAGTAAATTTAATGGATGACTCAGAGAAGACAACATAAACAAATAACTGAAATAACAATTTGTTAGAGTTCACTGCTGAACAAGTTTTGTTTGAAAGCCCAAACCAAATGAAACTTACTGCCATCTAGTCAATTCCGACTTAGAGCAACTCTACAGGACAGAGTAGAACTGCCCCAAAGGTTTTCCAAGGCTGTAACTTACAGAAGAGGATTGCCTTATCTTTACCCCATAGAGAGTCTGGTGGATTCAAACTAGTCATCTTCTGGTTAGTAGCCAAGTACTTGAACCACAACACTACTAAAACTCCTGCTTACAAGTCCACATGAGTTTGTTTTCTTTCATTTTTTATGTTTAAAAATCCAGACATTTTCTATTTTTAAAATCCAGACTTCTAGCTTCTCTTGAAAAATAAGATGATCATCATTCTTTCTGATTAAGGCTTGCTTAAGGCACTTACTGCAGAGGATGTATGACTAGAACCTTCAATACGTTTTACATCTCAGCATCAAGAAGACAGAATTCCTACCACTGGACCAATAGGCAACATTATGGTGGTGGTTGGCGTGTACCATGGAGTCGGAACCGACCCACCGCTGACCCTCTGCTGGGTTTTCAGAGGCAGTTAATTACATGGGAAGAGATTGCCCATCCTTCTCTCACAGAGCAGCTGGTGGATTTGAACCGCTTCTTGCCACTAGGCCACCAGAGCTCCCAGTTATGTTAACAGGCTTTCCTTTTACCTGTTGTTGTATAGACAAATAAAATATTGAAGTTGTCAGTGATATAAATGGGGAAAAGGCCCTTTACTGGAAAGGTAGAGGGCCAGAGAAAGAGAGGAAGGCATTTATCAAGAATGTATTGATCTGGTGACTTTAAGAATTGGCTTGAGCCTGTTGGAGATCATAAGGATGGCACGGGATAGGTTGTTCATAGGGTTGCTATGAATCATAGTCAACTCAACAACCCATAACAAGAAGAGCTCTGGTGGCTTAGCGGTAAGAAGTTACACTACCAACCCAAATGCAAGCTGTTCAAATCCACCCGCTGCTCTGCAAGAAAAAGATGAGTAATCTCATCCTGTGCAATTTGCAGTTCTGAAAACCCAGCTATGAGTTACTTCTGACTTGAACATCTAAAATGTTGCTGGACAGAGTCACCACCCAACCCACTCTCCTCATTGACTCATTACTCTGGTAAGTGTTCTTATCAGAGTAGTTATGCTTTTTAATTTAGATGAACAAATATTCTGGCTTTAAGGGAAAAATAAGTGAGTAACAAGAGCAGAATTTATTCTTTTAAAGGCCTTGGAAAACCGATAGTGTTCTACTCTACATGCTTGGGGTCACCACGAGTTGAAATCAACTTGATGGCAAGCACCCGACAGCATCATAATGATAAAAAATATTTCAGAGCTTTCTGATGTGGTGTCATAAGATACTTCTAACAAGCCTGTGAAGAGAAGGTAGGTATTGCTGTCCCCTTTTTTCAAGAAAGAAAAAAGGCAGGGAGTAGTTACTATGCCTCATGCCTCATGCCTCATGCCTCACACCATTTAATAAAATATTCATTTCCACACTTATTGCCACTGAGTCAGAATCACTCATAGCTGACTCCCAAGGAGTTTCAGAGGCTGTACATCACATGCAAGGAGATTGCTTCTCTTTCTTCTCAGAGCCACTGGGGGGGGGGGGGTTTAATAGCCAAACAGGTGCTGTTTCGGAGTTGGCAGGGTAACTCCCTACAGACTAGGTCACCAGAGCCTCCTTAATAAAATATGGTGTGACCTTTACTGAGCCCAGAGAAAAGATAGAAAGATCCTCAAGAAGATGGATCGACACAGTGACTGTAACAATGGGTTTGACCATGTCAGGAGAGGACAAGTTTCACTAATAACAACAACAGCAATAGATAGTTGACTTCTTAGACCTTCATCTCTCCTTCACAACAAAACCTTCCTTAGTTGTGAATCCTAAAGATAGCTCTGTCCACCTTTGCACATTTTCCTTGACTACTTCCTTTCAGTACGCCTCACCGGAACCAAGTATGCCTGTGGAAGAGGAGGCTGTGGGGCATGTACTGTGATGGTGTCCAGGCACGACCCGTCATCCAAGAAGATAAGGTATCCTTCCTGAGAGCCCGCAAGCACAAAGGTGGCCTTTTCTGTGTATTTTCAAGGATGCTGGTTTGCACCGTGGCTGAATCTTATTGTTGTTGTGTGCCCCCAAGTTGGAAACACTCAGAGTTGACCCTCCAACAGGTTTTCAGAGGCAGTAAACCACGCGGGAGGAGATTGCCCATCTTTCTCCCTTGTCATAGCTGGTGGATTCAAATCATATGCCTTTCGGTCTGCAATGCAGTTTCTTACCACTAGTCTACCAGACCCCCTAGGCCCTCAGGAAATCTAATAAATTCTATGAGCCATCAGCTCAGAAAACACAAATGAGTTACACTTTGTGCACAGTTTCAGGGGATCCTGGGCCTCTGGATGCCCATGTATGCACATCAGATTAAGAAACCTCAATTTAGCTCCATACTTCATGTGACAGAGGAGGAAATTGAGGTTCAAAGCGATAAAATGTCTTGTTCAAGGTCATACAGCTAATAAGCTGTAGAATAAAGCTTAAATCCATGTTTTGTGACTCTGAAACCATGTTTTCTCTACTGCTGCGCTAGGCCAGGTGGCCTTGTTGATCAGAACAGCTGTGATTTTATTCTTTAACTACGGGTCAGGTTTCAGACCTTGTGCTTCTCCCAATTCTTTTGGCCCAAGAAATCAAGAGAGAGCTTAAAATGTAGGCCAATGAACACCTTCTCAGAAGGCTTAAATTGAGCCGGGGGGGGGGGAGTGTGTTGGAGTTTAAGGTAAAAATAAAATCCCATAGAGATGACATAGAAATTCCTAAAAGGTAATATGTCCTTTTAGCTGTCAGGGGATCCCAATGAGTGCCAGCTGTTCAACCACAGTACTAGGGGGAAAAGTCCACTTCTGTTGCCCCCAAGTGCATCTGTTCTGAGCTTGAAAATGTTTTCTGATGTTCACCATGCCTGGATTCCTTGCTGTTGTTTTTGTTTTGTTCCACCAGATAGGAAATGACTCATAACAGTCATTGGCGATTGCCTATCTTTCTTTCATGGAGCCACTGGTGGATTCAAACTACCTGGCTTTGGATTGGTAGCCAAATTCCTTACCACTAGGCCACCAGAGCACCTTAGGATTCCTTGTGGTTGATCTGTAATTCTTAAAGACATTACAGTCAGCAGAGGAGACTCTCAACATTTCCTCCCTGCCCCTCCTTCAGAACCCACTCCTCTCATTGTGATGGGCTGCTCTGAGTTTTCTACTGCATGCCTTGTTTCCTAATCTCCCAGATGGCAGAGCTGTATTACTGACCTTGATTTCTCTTGTGCTTCTCATGTAAAGACACTTCTCAGTCACTGCCTGCCTGGTGCCCATCTGCTCACTGCATGGAACTGCTGTCACCACTGTGGAAGGCGTTGGAAGCATCAAAACTAGGATTCACCCCGTTCAGGTAAGAGCAAACCCTAAATTCTCACTTCTTCCCTTCATCTTTTGAATTAATGTAGTGTTTATTGTGCTACCTGAGGCTTCTAACTTGCAGCCAGGTAAGTCAAAGCTCTGGGTGCATATTGGCAAGGTAGCAGGATCTGTTAAGTGATTTCAGAGAAACTTGGGGATGTGTATGAATCTTTTTATCATCTTATTTTTTACTTTTTCTACTTGAATGATAATCAGACTTATAAACATATTAATATATATCAGGTTATTGTCTAACAGATCATATACAAAGGATATGACACACAGAACATAATGTGTCTGGCCAACAGGATAAAAATTCACCTCACCTGAAAGGTTCAAACTCACTATGAAGTCCAGAAGCAACACAACAGAGTGTGTGGAAAATATCATTTATTTAAAATGTGCATTTTGGTGAAAGCCAATTGAGGCTCAATGGAACATCAACACAGAACAAATAGAAGACTAGGGTGTTTATCCATGCTACACCGGCCAGCTGGGGATAGTCACAATAGTTTCAAGGTCATGGGGCCATTTTCTAGCACAATTTGTTTTAATTATCAACTAAACCCTGGGTCAGATCATAAAACCGTGTCTAGGATGAACCAGATTATTTACCATTTCCTGGAACACACAGACTATTCAGGTAGGGTCAAAATATCACCAAAATGGGTTCATTATGGTTTCAATAAATTTTATTGAAATTAAAAAAACAGCTCCTGCATGGAGCTGTTCAGAATAAAATCAGAATTTGGAGAGAGAAGAAAAGTGAGGGGAATCAAAAACTGACTTAACCAAAGCAATCATCTCCCCAAATCGTACCTTGAAGTCAGAATGCAGACGCTTAATTTTGAGAGTACTGTAACATTAAGTGAGTTCTGGTGGTGTTGTGGATTACTAATCAAAAGGTTAGTCACTCCATGGAAGAAATGAGGCAGTCTTTTCCACTAAATATTGACAGCATCCTTTGAAATCTGACGGAAGGTCAGAACCAACTCAGTGATAGTAAGCTTGGTTTGATTTGCGTGGCATACACTGCAGAGGATATATCAATACTCCCTGGTGCTGCTATAGGGGCTGGGAGAATCTTTGAAACAGAATGATCACCATTATGAGTCCTTCAAGGCAGGTGACGCCCAGAAGGTCTAGACCCAGCAGAATCTGTGGAGCAGGAAATCAGAGAAAATGCTCATATAAGGGTCAAGAAACCTGAATCTTGTGATTTCATATCTTACATTCTATGAAATAAGGCTGCTCAAACTTCTGGGGGAACTTGTTAAAGACGCAAATTGAGTCAGCAGATTTGAGGTAGGCACCTGAAATTTTGTACTTTTAACAAGTTCTCATGTAGAAACCATACTACTTGTTTATGAACTACACGTTAGCCAAGATCTAGGCACAGACCGAAGTCTTGAACCTTTGTAAGAAGAGCTCATAGGGAGCTCTGGTGGCCTTAGTGGCAAGAAGCTGTGTTATAATCCTGAGGGTACGCAGTTTGAATCCGCTGGAAAAGAATGGACAATCTCCTTTTGTGCCATTTAGATCTGACTTGATGGTACACAACAAGGGAAAAAATCTTTAATTTAAAAAAAAAAAGCAATTAGAGCCAACACAGAAATATTTAAAGAATAAAGGGAGATCAACACACTTACAGTCTTAGATCATCCAAAAAGGTAAGCCTTTTGATCAGTACTCAGCTGTGCAAGAATGGAGTTGATTCAAAACAACTATGAGATATCATCTCACCCCAGTCAGAACAGCAAAATTTAACAGAACAGCAAGCAATAAATGCTGGCAAAGTTGTGGAGAACCTGGAACCCTTATTCACTGTTGGTGGGAGTATAAAATGGTGCAACCACTGTGGAAGGTGGTATGGCGCTTTCTCAAAAAGTTGCAAATAGAGATACCATTTGACCCAGCAACTCCACTACTGGGAATATACACCAAAGAGACCATAACTGACATCCAAGCAGATATATGCACACCCATGTTTATCGTGGCTTTGTTCACAATAGCAAGGAGTTGAAAACAACCTAAGTGTCCATCAACAAACGAATGGATACTACACTGCATTGAAAAACAAGGAACTCATGCAATATTATTCAAAATAGGTGATCCTGGGGGACATTATGCTGAGTGAAGTATCTCAGTCACAAAAGGACAAATACTGCATGGTGCCACTGTTGTAAAACAGGACTGACCTTGGGGTTGGGGGAAGACTGAGAAAGATGGGTTCAATAATGTATACTGCACTGAAACAGATGAGGGAGAAAACTGTTTAAAAGGGATATGTGATTAGGTATTTTTGTCATGATAGGAGTCCAAAACGAAGGCTTCATAGTGGAGTGGACCTGGGGGGAGGGATTGTAAAACAATGAAAGAATTTTTCTTTTACTTTTCCAAGAGGGTAGTGTACTAGGGGGGAGGGATGGAAGGGGGGGAAAGTGCAACAATGAATGAATGGAAATCCAAATTCTCTGTAAATTTTCATTGAAATTAATAATAATTTTTTAATGTATTTGCAATGAATAAAAAAAAGAATGGAGTTGATCAAGAAAAATTTTTTGGAACTTCTGCTTCCTTACAATTAATTATTTTTAAAGAATCCTTTTTCCTCAGAAAAGAGCATAGTAATAATTCTCAAGGAAAAGGACTTGACTTTCAAACCTTAATGGGTTTCAAAAGTCACCGCAATGACAGATCATGGTATCTAAGTCACTTCTTCCAGTCTAATGAAAAAGAGGCATTGGCAGACTCTAGTCGAAGGGAGCGGTACGTTTGCTCAGGAAATGAATTCCTCCATGAGAGAGCACGGGCCCTCATGAGGTGTTGGTGGCAGCAGGAAGACAGAGACTGTGATCATGCCTTTGCTCTTCCAGGAGAGGATCGCCAAGAGCCATGGCACCCAGTGTGGATTCTGCACCCCTGGGATGGTGATGTCCATGTACACGCTCCTGAGGAATCACCCAGAGCCCTCAGAGGAGCAGCTCATGGAAGCCCTTGGGGGTGAGTCCGACACAGAAAAAGCTTACTGCCTACTCAACTCTGCCCCACTCCACCCCAACATCTTCCCAGCCCCAGTCAGAATCCCCCTCTGTTTGTAAAGTAGCCACAGTTCCTGGAGCAGACCCTGGAGCAGAGAATGCCCCTGGTGGTCAGACAACATGTGTGGAACAGCCTTCGCAGGGATGATATGTGGCACTTGGGCTACATCACCTACCCTTTGTAACCCACATCTCTATCCAGTGACTTTCTTGACTTCCCCATTAAGGCCCCTTCCATATCAAAAGAATGCTTTAAAAATTCACAGCATGTTCAAGTTACTTAAGAAAGAGACCATATGCAAAGAACTTTGGTAACATCAACAAACCATAATTTCAGATGCCAATAATCTCTAAACAAGTTATACACAAATTCTAAGATTGATTAATCCTTATAGCAATTCTCTAGAATGAGTCCTAGAGAGTTTCCAAGACTCACATTTCATGGAAATATGTTCTTACATTCTCCACACAAGGAGCAACTGGTGGGTTTGAACCACCAGCCTTTTGGTAGACAGCCGATCACTAGGATTTTGGAATTGTCTCAACAGGAGCTGGTTTGGTTGATTTCTTAGATCAAATACTGATAGCTGTCCAGGCATAGTACATTCTTCTGTTCTGCCAGCACTTTGCTCCCTCTTTGCCCCAATACAGAAAATCAGGTTGTTTTATCTGAAATCCTAGGCTTCCTTAAGTCCTTCCTCTTCTTGAGGTTCTTCAATGGTTCCTTGTCCTTAAAACCTAATCTCCAATAGTGCAACAATGAATGAGTGGAAGCCCAAAATCTCTGTAAATGTTTATGAAAATTAATAAAATATAATTATAGAAAAAAAAAAAAACCTAATCTCCTCAACCAGGTATACAGAGAAGCCCCAAAACTGATCTCACTAAGCTTGCGTCTTGCCAAACTCCCTGCAGGCCACTCTCCTTAGCAACTCCCAACTCCTGTCACGTTCCCACATCAGAATTTTGCTGAGCAGCTTGTGAGCCCAAAGCCAAACTCCTTTCTTCTCTGCCAAGCTATTGTTTGTTTGTCCTTCAAATTTTGGCTTCTCTGAAAAGCCTTTTCAGGTGAGTTCTTCCACAGTGATTCTTGGCATGTCTTCATCCTTGGAAACTTGTGATTCTCAAGTAACAAAAGAATTACCTTCAGCTCTATTAAATGCTGACCTGGGGCTCACTCCAGACATTATGCTTCAGCAGAATTGGAGTAGGACTAGAAATCTTTTTTTTTTTTTAAATCTTAATTTTTAACAATCCTTCTTCCCTCACTTCACTCCTAAGGATTTGGATGCAGTGACCCAAAAGAAACTTAGAAACAATACTGACAAGCTGTCCATAATACACTTTAGATTGCTGTAGTTGCTAGGTGCTGTCAAGTTGGGGATAGCCACCCTATTAAGAACAGCCTTGAATTCTGCCCTATCCTGTGCCATCCTCATTATCTCTAACACCCTTGAGCCCATTGCTGCAGTCACTGTGTCAATCCATCCCCTTGGGGGTCTTCCTCTGTTTCACTGACTCTCCATCTTTCCAAGTATGATGTCCCTCTCTAATGAATTGCCTCACCTAGCTTTATGTCCAAAGTATGAAAGACAAAACTTTGCCATTTTTGCTTCCAAAGAGCACTCTGGCTGCACTTTCTCCAAGACATATCTATTTGTTCCTTTAAGATATTTAATATTCTTCTCCAAAACCACTTCTTATTTAATAGTCTCCAAAACTCGAAAACATCAATTCTTCTCTCATCCTTATTCATTGTCCATCCCTCTGATGCATAGCAAGTGATTGAGAGGAACAAATCAGGCACACCTTAGTCTTCAAGCTGACATCATTGCTCTCAAGTATTTTGATGTTGTTTTTGTTATGTGCTGTTGAGTCACTTGTGACTCATAGCAACCCTATGTACTACAGCTCTAAACCCTGCTTTGCCCTGTGCCAACCTTATTGTCTCTGACATACCTATCCTCATTACCCCAGTCACTGAATCAATCCATCTCTTTAAGGCTCTTCCGCTTTTGCACTGTCCCTCTACTCTCCCAAGCATAACGTTCCTCTCCACCCCAACATCTTCCCAGCTCCAGTCAGGATGCCCTGTAGCTGTCTATAAAGTAGCCACAAACTGGTCACTCCTTATAATTTGCCCAAAGTATGTCAGATGAAGCCTCAGAATCCTTGCCTCTAAGGAGTAGCCTGGTTTCAACCTCTTTAGGATGAACCTGTTTGACCTCCTAGCAGTCTATGGTATGTTCAGTACTCTTCTCCAGCACTACGACTCAAAGTAATCAATTACCCTTCTATCATTCCTAGTAATTGTCCAGCTTTCTAATGCATCACAAGTTATAGAGATCATGGCCTGGATCAGGTGCAACTTAGTCTCCAGACTGACATCATTTGTCTTCTGTACTCTGGAGAGGTCCCTGACAGCAGATTTTCCCAGAGCAATTCATCTTTTGATTTCCTGGCTGCTGATACAAAAAGTGTCGATTGTGTAGCCAAACAAACTTTATTAAAAGTCTTGAAAATCAGTTGCCATTGCATCAACTCCAGATCTTAATGACTCTTGTGTGTCAGAGTAAAACTGAGCACAATTTTCAATGGCTGATTTGTCAGAATTAGGTCTCCAGTCCTTTTTCCAAGGCACCCTTGGGTGGACTTGAACATCAAACCTTTAATTTAACAGTGATCTGTTAACCATTTATGCCATCCTAGACTCTGTATTGAAACTTGGAAATTGCCTACATCGTGCTTTCGGGTCTTTAGCATCTTAAATATATTGATGTTGTCAATGAATATTTTTTGCATGAATAAATGTTTGAATAGATGCATGAAAGTTATCTCACTGACTAGAAATCGTCTTCTTGTATGGACAGAATAAAACTGAAATTGAGGAAGGGAAAAGTTTTGAGCATTTTATAGAGAAATCAAATAGAAAAAAAAAGTTTCTCTCTTTCCACTTTGAGATTAAACTTGCAAATATAAAACCTGCTGATACCATGTTTCTTCTCTGACCAGGCAACCTGTGTCGTTGCACTGGGTATCGGCCAATTCTTGCCAGTGGAAGAACCTTCTGCATGGTGAGTAGATAACACCTGCAGAGCATGTGAAAATGACAGTGACGGCTGGTCACAACTAGAAATAATGGAACTGGTTTTTTTGTTTGATGTTTTGTTTGGTATTTTTGGGGTTTGGTTTTTCTTTTAGCCCTTCTAAGCCGAAGATAAGGGAAACCATGAGAGTTAAACCCATTAGCTCCTGGGAGTTTTAGCTATTTGTTCAGGACAGGGTGAAGATTGAAGGTGGCAGGAGGTGGATGCTGTCACATCAAAATCATAAAGGAAAGTAAGGTAATTTATCCTGCCATCCAGACAAGCTCTAAATGGAAAAGCTACAGAATATCCAAGGAGGTAAGCACAGTGACTGAGCTTGAGTTGGTGAGACAAGGTTAGTTCCAAGAATCCTGGTGAGCTGGAAAGATATGAGCACGTAAAGAATCTAAATATATGGTGTCGACTGCAGAACCTGCCCAAGTGCAAGAGCACAGAGAGTTTCCTCTAGAAAATGAGGATACCTTACTGTGCTATTGTGAAGCTCAAATGTGAGACCACAGCTAAGCCTTGGCTGGTGTTTATAAGAACTCATTGAAGAAATACCATTGCTCTTGAGGATGTTATTGCTGTGAACAGTGTTTGACAGGGATACCAGGAGCAAACATATCTTGTTGTGCTCTGCTGAGGCACGTTGGATGTAGGCAGTAATGCCCTGAGGCCCAAGCAAGGTGGACCCCACACTTTAGAAGCCCCCTTCCTGGTACTCTTCCAATCATTCTTTATGGGGCCTATGAGACCAACATGACTTGGCTACCTGGAACCTTCACTCCTCTTCTAATCATTCTCTGGGAGGTTAGTTAGAACGTTCCAGAACACTCTGTCCAATAGACATATGCGCACTTCTCAAAACAAGCCTCTTTCTGAGATTGCTCTCCTAAGGGCAAACAAAGATAGCATCAATGTGTATGCAAGTCTGGTTGAGGGTTGACAGTTTGCAGGGGAAGTGGACCAAGCTTGGACACTGAAGATGAAGTTTCTACACTGTGTTTGAAGCCCCTGATGAGACAGAACCCAGCAGGGTAAGAAGAGGAGACTATGTCACAGGCCAAGGGATCCATTTGTGCTCAGGATGGATTAGACCACAAGAAGATGGGAAAACATGGGAAATTACTACATGTGAAACTACAGATAAGTAAGCACAAGAAAGCCCATGCTTGCTTTGTTCACTACACATGCCCTCTGTGTAAGACATTATAAATTTGAAAAGAGAATTGGACTCCGTAGGAAGGTGCTATAAGTTTGGAAAAGAAACTGACGCCAACTATATGTAGAAGCAGTAACCTTGGTGTGATGAAATTGTTGACTACTGATCAGTAAGTAAGTACAAGGACTGTGTTTGTTTGTCTGATTCTCTTACTGTTCTTGCCTCAACTTCACAAATAAGTCAGAAACAAGCCAGAAAGAGGACTAGCTGGTGTGTCCAACTCCTGAAGAGACAGGTACAGCCCTGTGCATGCCCAGACAGCCACTGCCACATGGGGGAGCCAAAGTTGGCACGGAAAGGTCAATAGAAGAGCTTCTGAGCCCAGCAAATTGGGAGTGCATGGAAAAGCACTTGTGAGACAGAAATAAAGGAAACTTCCCTCCCTCTGACAGGAAATCCTATTTGTGGATGTTATCCACCCTTCCAGGCAGGCTAAGGATAAAGTTGAAAACGTGGTCAGAGACCCCACCCTAAGGCCAACCCTGTGGAACTTTTGTGGGTGGAATCAGCCCAGCTCAGAGGAAACACACCAGGCTTATATCTACTGGGCCAACATAAGGCAGGCTTTTTGCCAGCGGCTGCTGGTTCATGGGACAACTGTGGGCACTTTCATAGTTTTGAGTAAGAGAGGAAACTGCTCACAGGCCCAGCTCTTTCAGCTACTCAAACTTAGGGAAATGGCAACCTGAGAGGCCTGAGCAGAGACGCAGAACTGAACGGAAATTATTCTGAGAGTTACTGAAGAGAAATCTACTTGAAGAAAATATGAGGCAAATTTGGAGGAAATTAGAAATGAAGGAACAGGCAATGGAAGCTGCTTTTACATTCAGTGATTGTCCGCTTCATCTCTCCCAATGAACATAACGCAGATCCTAAAAGTCTACAAGTGTTAATAACATCTTTTTCCTTTTTTGTTTGGGTTAGTTTTGGGTTTTTTTAAGACCCTCAAATGAGGTTGCCACAAGTTAGAATCAACTGAACAGCAACTGCTTTGAGGTTGTTTTTTATTTGTTTCATGTGAATGATACTCAGTGTAACTGAATCAGCATCTCTCTGAAAAGATTCATTTTGTCATTATAAAGTAAGCTAACAGAAGAATTTAGAGATGTACATGTTTATACAAAAAAAAAACCCAACATATTTTCAATAATACTCATAATTATAAAATATAAGGTAAAAATTAAGGCTATCAATAGCAAAAGTTAGAGGTATATTATGAAATAGCCAGAATATGGAATACTCTATTGTAAAGACTTTTTGATGACATGGAGAAACATTCACAATGTAAATACACAATAGGCAAGTAAATTGGGGAAAACCCAAAATAAAAATGTATTTGTAGTTGTTCTTATTGTTATTGTGTTGTTAAGTTGCAAGTGACTCTTAGCTAACCCAATTTTCAGAGGCTGTAAATTGCACAGAAGCTTATTCAAAACATACTAAGATTTAACATTTTAAATTAATATACTCAATATTTATAGTGCAAGGATGAGTATATGGCTTGACAAAATACTATCAGAAGAGTTGAGCAATGATAGTTTATTTCTTTAGTGCATCTCTATACTCTTTAGGTATTGCTTTTACATATTTTCGGATATTATGGATTGTCATATTGTGCAGTGTTAATACCCCATATGTATTACTTTTGGAAAGAAAAATAAGGCAAACAGAGAAAAGCCTTATGTAGCCATGTGCCAACATTCTGTTTCAATAGAAAACAGCAGAAGTGGCTAAAAAAAAGTCTGAGACCTCAAATTATCAGACTTCTCAAGGCATATACACCTTTTGCCAGTAAGACATTTCTTAATTCTAAACCATTTCACTTTATTAGGCTTCAAATGACTGTCAAGAGAAAGGGAAAGGAAAATGCTGCTTGGATCAAGAAGAAAAGGATTCCTCCTCACTTGACAGGAAAAGTGAGGTGAGTCCCTCTGTCCACGTTGCCCTTTCTCAGAGCTGTTTCTCAAGGGCCTTACAGTGATTGGAGCTGGTCCAGGGCTGCAACTGTGCTTGCTGGCTTTGTCACTCATTCTTGGCTCACATTTTTAAGTACATGTTGTTGTTGTTCTTGTCATGTGCCACTGAGTTGCTTGCAATTCATAGTGACCCTATCTACAAGAGCCCTAAACGCCGTTCTATCTTGTGTCAACCTTACCTTCTCAAACACACTCATTCCCACCACCCCAATCACAGAATCGATCCTTCTCATCAAGGGTCTTCCTCTCCTACGCCGTCTCTCCACTCTCAAACATGATGTCCCTCTCCAAGAACCAGTCCCTCCTTGCAACATGCCCAAAATATGTCAGACGAAGCTTCAGAATCCTTGACTCCAGGGAACACTCTGGCTTCACCCTCTCCAGGACAAACCTGTTTGTTCTCCCTGCAGTCCATGGTATATTCAACACTCATCTCCAGCACCACAGCTCAAAGGCATCAATCCTCTTTCTATCAACCCTATTCACTGTCCAACTCTCTGATGCATAGCACATAATTGCAAAGACTATAGCCCAGAGCACCTTAGTCTCCAGCCTGACATCGTTGCTCTTCAGTACTCTTGAGAGGTCCCTCACAGCCGACTTTCCCAATGCAATTCGTCTCCATGTTTTTAATTTTTTTATTTTATACTGATTTATTTACAAAGTTTGAAGACACTGTTTTTCACAAAAGGTCTTTCCCATTTCCTTCACATCCCTCGTCGAATTGTGCAACCCTATGATTAACACCCCAACCTCCCACCCATCCTCACTCCTCTGCTTCCACCCTTCTCCCCCCACCCCATACTCATTCTCCAAAAATGGTTTTATACAGTGTTTGTCCTTGTGAACTAAGTTGGTTCACTCAGCATAATGCTCTCCATTCCCTCTCAAGTTAGGTAGTGATTTACAACATCATTGCTCCTGCGTGCTGCGCAGTATTCCTTTGTGTGAATGTACCACAACTTCTCAATCTATTCGTTTATGGTTGGACATCTGGGATGCTTCCATGTTCTTGTGATGGTGAAATAATGCTGCTATTAACATTGATGTACAAGTCTCCCTTTGAGCCTCAGTTCTCATTTTCTTAGGGTATATTCCGAACAGTGAAATAGCTGGGTCATTTGGAATTTCTATGTTCAGCTTTTTTTAGGAAGAGCCAAACTGCCTTCCACAGTGGTTGTACCATTGTACAATCCTACCAACAAAATAAAAGAGTCTCTAACTCACCACATCTTCTCCAACATTTATTACTTACTGTACTGTTAAAATTTGCCACTGCTACTGGAATGAGATGATATCTCATTGTGATTTTGATTTGCATCTCTCTTACTGCCAGTGGTTTTGAGCATTTCTTCATGTGTCTGTTGGTCATTCAAATATCTTTCTCTGTGAAAACTCTTTCCATTTTGTAACTGAGTTATCAGTCTTTTTCTTGTGGAGGCCCAGGAATATTCTATAAACTTTCATTATGAAAGTTTAGATGTCTGAGGTGTGTCTGAGATGGTATTGCCAAATGTTTGTTCCCAGTCGATATGTTTTCTTTTCACGGTTGGGAAAAGTTTGTGATGTACACTGGGATTTAATCTTTAGAAGGTTCCTTTCATCGGTTTTATCTTCTTCAGATTGTGCATTTCTGGCTATATATAGCAGTCTCTTTATACTGAAAACTAGGCCCGCTAATCTTGATCACAGTTTGTCTCTTATGAATTTTATGGTTTGGGGCTTTACTCCCAAGTCACTGATCTACCTTGAGGTGATTTTTGTTTACGGTGTGAGATGTGGGTCCTGTTTCAGCTTTCTACAGGTGGCAGTCCAGTTTTGCCAGCACTATTTGTTGAAGAGGCTGTCGTTTCTCCATTTGATAGATTTTATTTTCTTGTCAAATATCAGATGACCATTGATAATTGGACCTATTTCTAGGTTCTCAATTCTATTCCATGGGTCTATGTGCCTGTCATTGTACCAGTACCATGCTGTTTTGGTTATTACCACTGTAGTAGGTTTTGAGATCAGATAGTGCTATGACTCCCACTTCATTTTTGTTTCTCTGAAGTGTTTTGATTATTCAGAGTCTCTTTCCTCTCCAAATAAACTTGACAATTTCCCTTTTGATCTCCTTGAAAAATTAATTTGGTATCTGTATTGGGATTGCATTGAATATGTAGATTGCTTTCAGTAGGATTGACATTTTCACAATATTGAGTTTTCCTACAGGGCACATTTTCCCATTTCTTTAGGTCTTTTATTGTGTATTGCACAAATGTCCTGTGGTTTTCTTTGTATAGGTCTTCTGCATGCATTTAAAAAAAAACACAACGACTTTCCTTTTGAGATCTGGATAAACTGATAGTATAAAGTACATATATTGGTTTTTCCCCTTAATGGTCTTAAAGGCTAATAAAACAGGAAAACAAACTCCTGTTCATATAAGAGAATAAAGTACTAGGGAGCTCTGGTGGCCTAGTGGTAAGAAGCTGCTGTGTGATCCCAGAGGTACACAGTTCAAATCCGCCAGATGCTCTCCTGGAGAAGGAGGAACAATCTCCTCTGTCAGATCCAATTTGATGGTACACACACAAAAAAATAATAAAATAAAAGATAATAAAGTACTACCCCAACTAGGGTTGAAATGGATTTAGGAAGCAGCACCTTCTCATGCACGGTCTTCCTCTATCATTGTGTTTTCTCAGCATTAGAGAGAATACGTAACCTCAGGAAGGCTGGGGAGCTCCTCCAATCACATAACAAGCTATGGCTCCCAATCTTAAATGTTGAAATCACAGGCTTTGCCTCTGAGGGACTCTGCTGTAAGCTGCTGTCAAGTCACTCTTAACTCACGATGATCCCACGTATGCAAAACACTGCCAGGTCCTAACAGCGTGGTCCACGGGGTTGTCAGTGGCTGAGTAGAAACGTAGAACACCAGGCCTGCTTAGTCTCAGAACTCTGCTGAAACATTTGCAACACCATAACACGCAAACCTCCCACCAACACTGGCTGTTCTTGAGGCAAAGCCAGGAATTCAACCTGAGTCTCTTGCATATTGTTGATATTGTTGTTAGGTGCCATCTAGTCCACTAAGACTCATAGTTACCCAATGAATAACAGACCGAAACTTTGACCGAGCCTCCACCAGTCTCACAGTCTCTATCATATCCAAGCCTATCGTTGCAATCACTGCATCAATGAATCCATCTTGTTGAACATCTTCCTCTCTTTTTCTAACTTTCTCTTGATTTTCCAACTATAATGTTCTTTTCCAAGGGCTGGCCCCTCTTGGCAACAGGTCCAAAGTATGTTAGATAAAGTTTTACCATCTTTGCCTCTAAAGAGAATCTTGGTTACACTTCCTCTAAGACAAAGCACTGCTCTCACCTGAGAGAACATTAGTTTCTTGGAAAGACTCACTGTCAAGGCTTTCAAGGAATTACTTACAAAGTTGAAATTAGGATAAAATTGAGACAAGAAAACCTGAGAGAACACAGCAACTGTCTTATAGAAAATTCTGACATCACCCCTTCCTATATCTATTTCTAGTCCATTCCTGACCTCCCACTGTCACCAGATTTGGGGCTGAAGAAGGCACAAAATGAAATGAGAAGGCTGCAGAGAAGTAGACTGCACCCCCACCCATACAAGGGAGGGCCAGCATCTTACAAGGGTCAAAACATTCTAAAGTCTTGACAAGCTCTGGTGGCTTAGTGGCAAGAAACTGCACTGCAATCCCAGAGGTGTGCGGTTCAAATCTACCAGATTCTCTGCTGAAGAAGGAGGAATAGTTGCCTCCTGTACCAGTCAGATCTGATTTGACAGTATACACATAAAAAATAATAATAAAAAAAAATAAAAACATTCTAAGGTCTCAGGAATTCCATCTTTATAATGATGAGGTTTTCTGTGACTCATCTTAACCAAACACACAAGCACATGCTATTTATGCAGACAGGTACATCAGCATTCCTTCACAAAGGGAAACAAATTATAAAGTGGACTTTGTTGTCCTTTCCCTATAGGTAGACATATACAGGAAATCAAACTATAACAAAATTGTTGTTGTTTTTGTTATTGTTAAGTACATTGAGTTGTAGGCAACTCATAGTGACCCTATGAACAAAAGACTTGAACACTTGTATAACTCTTATCCTTTAATTCAGGTTCAAAGGGTTTCCGGAGGCAAGCTACTCCTGCTTCCAAGTTTGTTTTAATTGGGTAGTTTCCACCAAACACTGTCCACCATGGGTAACCATTCTCGCATTTGACAAATCGGTGTCACAATGTTCAGTTTCACAGCAACCACGAGTTATTACCTCTGTACAGCAAGTGGACAGACCAGGGCTATATGATCTAGAAGAATGTTTCACCAAAAACAATTAAAAACAGGCCTGAGGGCCGCAGATTAGAGTCACCCACCTTTGGCTTGGTAGCATCACTTTCTGTCTCCTAGGCCAACTGACCTTTCTCATTGTTGTTGTTGTTATTGTTAAGTACCATCGAGTCATAGGCAACTCATAGCGACCCTAAGAACAAAACAATAACAAGATTAGTGAGCATAATATCAGAGCCGTCAGACAATCTTAACAGCACCACTGAAGTACTAGCCCCACTCTCCTCCACTGAAGTGGTTGTTAGGCACTGTTGAAGTCAAGTCCATTTTAACTTGTAATAATTCTTGTGAAGAATAGAAGTGCCCCATCAAGTTTTCTGGGCCATAATTTTTGCACAAGTACTTTATCAGGTCTTTTTCTCAAGGAGCCACTGGGTGGGTATCAACCACTAACCTATAAGTTAACAAGCAAGTACTTAGCTCTTTGCAACACTAGAGTAGATTTGTTGAAAGACCAGGTGTCTCCTCTGTTACTATCCCTTCTCTCCTTGGCTCCTTGCTGACCAAATTCCCCTTTTAGAGAGCAAATTCTTTAAGCTACAGGAATAACTTCCATAAATCACTATGAAGTTTTTACACAAGGCCATTTTAGGAAAAACTTTATTCCTATGTTTGTGTTAATATTTTAACTCCCATAAACATCTTTTTTATTACTCTGATTTATTTACAAAGTCTGAATACATTGTTGTTTACAAAAGATCCTTCCATTTCCTTCACCCCACCCACCCATCAAATTGTGCAACCCTATGATTAACACCCTACTCCCCACCCCCCCACCCCCGCTCATCCCTCTATCTCCACCCTCCCCCCCCAACCTTGGTTCCTTATACTCATTCTATAATAATCGTATTTGTCCTTGTGAGACTGAGTTAGTTCACTCAGCATAATGCTCTCCAGTGCCTCCCAAGTTAGGTAATAATTTACAAAATGAGTATTCCATTGTATGAATGTACCACAACTTCTCAATCCATTAGTTTGTGGTTGGATATCTGGGCTGTTTCCATGATCTTGTGATGGTGAACAATACTGTTATGAACATTGGTGTACAAATTTCTGTTTGAGCCTCAGTTCTCATTTTCTTGGGGTATATTCCAAGCAATGGAATGTTGTTGTTGTTGTTGTTGTTGTTGTTGATTGCCTTCGAGTCAAGCACGACTCATAGTGACCCTATGAACAAAAGGCCTAAAGCCTCTCTACAACTATTGAAGTTTATCAAAGCTCATAGAGTTTCTAGAGGTATGTTGTTTAGGAAGTGGATGCCACTGCTGCTTCCAAGCAATAGAATAACTGAGTCATACGGAATTTCTATGTTCAGCTTTTTGAGGAAGTGCCAAACTGCCTTCCACAGTGGTTGTACCATTGTATAATCCCACCAACAATGTAAAAGAGTTCCTATCTCATCACATCCTCTCCAATGTTGATTACTTGCTGTCCTGTTAAACTTTGCCACTATTGCCATCTCTCTAAGTGAGATAGTATCTCATTGTGGTTTTGATTTGCATCTCTCTTAATGCCAGTTCTTTGGAGCATTTCTTCATATGTCTGTCAGCCATTTGAATATCTTCCTCTGTGAAAATTCTTTCCATGTCTTTTTCCCATTTTGTAATTGGGTCATCAGACTTTTTCTTGTGGAGGCCCAGGAGTACTGTATAAACTTTCATTATGAGACTCTTGTCTGAGATGGTTTTGCCAAATGTTTATTCCCAGTCAGTAGGGGTTTGTTGTGGTTTTTTTCACCCTGTTGGAAAAAGTTTTTGATGTACACAGGGATTTAATCTTTAGGAGGTCTCATTCATCAATTTTATCTTCTTCAGATTGTACATTTCTGGCTGTATTTGGCAGTCTCTTTATTTGTAGACTAGAGCTTCTAAGCTTGATCCCAGCATAAACATATCTTAATCCACATTTTAAGGACACACATTATTCAAGATGCTGGACTTCATGAAGAGGAATGTGGCATCAGGATTGGAGGAAGACTCATCAACAACCTACATTATGCAGATGACACAACCTTGCTTACTGAAACTGGGAAGGACCTGAAGTGCTTGCTGCAGAAGATCAAGAACTGTAGTCTTCAATATGGATTGAAGCTTAACATTAAGAAGACAAAGATTCTCACCACTGAGCCAACTGGTAGCACCATGATAGATGGAGAAGAGATTGAGGTTGGTAACAATGACAGCTTACTCAGCTCCACAAACTACACTCTTGGCACCAGCAGTCAAGAAATCAAAAGATTAATTGTATTAGGAAAATATGTTGTCAAGGACCTTTCCAAAGTACTGAGAAGCAATGATGTCAGTCTAGAGACAAAAGTGTGTCTGATCCAGGCCATGGTTTTGCAATTACTTGCTACGTATCAGAGAGCTGGACAATGATTAAGGATGACAGAAGAACTGATCCCTTTTAGTTGTGGTGCTGGAGAAGAGTCTTGAACTTATCATGCATGACCCTCCAAGAAAACAACTAGGTCTATCTGAGAGAGGTGAAACCAAGTTTCTCCTTGGAGGCTAGGATTTTGAAGCTTCATCTCTCATACTTTGGGCATGTGGCTGGGAGGGACTGATCCTTGGATAAGGACATCATGCTGAGAAAGGTGGAGAGATAGCACAGGAGAGGAAGACCCCAAATGAGAAGATACAGTGACTGGGGCAATGGGGGTAGGTGTCTCAGAGTCAGTGAGACTGAATCAAGACAGGGCCAACTTCAGAACTGTGAATCACAGTTGACTCTACATCACCTAACAACAACCACATATTGTCCCAGAGAATGTCTACACTGCTGATTCTAACTCAAGTGGAAAACTATGCCTTCAGATGCTGGCCTTCAGTCTGTAGTTCTACTTGGAATCTTTGTGCGCAACTGAGAATCTCTATGAAGAACTAAGAATCTTTATGAGGAGCAAGTTCCTTATAGAACTGGAAAGACCACAAAGAAAGAGACACAGAGAGAAGGTGAATGTGTGCCAAATGTCGAGCCATTTCCCCTAATTATCACAGTGGCGTTTCAAAATACCTTTTGCTTCCAGAGAACCTTTAGAAAGTTTACAAACTTTTCCATTGGAAGGATCAGAGACTAAGTCATGGCAGAGCTGAGAGTGAACCCAAAATGACCCACCAGCCTCCTCTGATATCAACTTATGCTCTCCTCCATCATAACCATCTACAACCCAGCATCCCACAGCTCTCCCCCAATCTTTCTCACCTCTTCCCAAACGTGGAAATAAGCATCTTCCAACCATAAAGCAGATCTGATCAAGTGATCTAGTGTTTAGAACACACCTCAGTATCCTTCAGTTTGGTAAAACAGAGACAGTAATTTACCTTCCCAACTAAATATGATTACATATAAAAGCTCAGTAAATATTACCTACAAGATCCTATGGATTCCAACAGTCCAGTCCACAGCTACTCCTGGGCTTGACAAAGACGTGGCAGCTTTCCTTCTGTTAGTCTTGGGATTGCTATGAGCTCGGGGCCAACTTGACAGAAGCTGAAAGCCACAACTCGGCTATGAAAACCGGAAGCATGGGCAGCATGAAAAATGTATCCAACATCACTGAAACACACACATAAAAAACGGATAAATGGAAATCCAACAATCTCTACATTTTCACTACAATTAATAATAATATTTAAAATTTTTTAAATGGATGAATGAGAAAATGCTTCATACATACCACAATATTTAAAAAGAAGGGAGTGTATATGTGTGTTTGTGTATGCAGGTTTATGCTCGCTTATAATGGCTTAGGCCATTTTCATTTAAACTGCAGGACTTCTCAGGGCATTTTGAAGAAAGTGGTGGGGTCACAATAGGGAGTATTTGCAAACTTAAATTGACTTCTGATAGTTTTTTAGAAGGATTAGCTTGGGTTTTCACACTAGTATTTCATAGGATAAGCAGCCTTCAATATGGACTGAAGCTCAACATCAAGAAAACAAAGATTCTCACCATTGGGCCAATTGGCAGCATCATGATAGATGGTGTAGAGATTGAGATTGTTGACAGCTTCAGTTTGCTTGGCTCTACAATCAATACTCTCGGTACCAGCAGTCAGAAAATTAAAAGACGGATTGCATTGGGAAAGTCTGCTGTCAGAGACCTCTCCAAAGTACTGAAGAGCAACAATGTCAGTCTGGAGACTAAGGTGCACCTGATACATGCCATGGTCTTTGCAATTATTTGCTATGCATTAGAGAGCTGGACAATGACTAGGGATGATAGGAAAGTTGATGTCTTTGAGCTGTGGCACTAGAGAAACTTATTGAATGTAACATGGAGTGCTAGGAGAACAAACAAGTTTGTCCTAGAGAGGGTGAAGCCAGGCTGCTCCTTAGAGGCAAGGGTTCTGAAGCTTCATCTGACATACTTTGAACATGTTATAAGACGAGATCAGTCCTTGGAGAGGGACATCATGCTTGGGAGGGTGGAGGGACAATGCAGGAGAGGAAGACCTTTGATGAGATGGATTGATTCAGTCACTGGGAGAATGAGGATAGGTGTATTGGAGACAGTAAGACTGGCAAGGCATAGAGCAGGGTTTAGGGTTGTGGTACATACGGTTTCTATGAGTCACAGGTGACTCAACAGCACATAACAACAATCTTGTTTTGTTATTAGTGCAAAATCAGTACAGGCACATTTCATTTTACCATGCTTTGCTTTGTTGCAATCTGTAGACACTGCATTATTTTTTCTTTTTGTACACAAATTGACATTTTGTGGCAGCCCTGGGCCAGGTAAGTTTGTGCCCTTTTTCTAACCACAGGACACATGTGTCTGAAGGTCACATTTTGGTGATTCTCAAATAGTATTTGAAGCTTCTTCATCATACTACTGCACCCTTCACAGACTGCTGTCTAGTGTAAATATGCTTTCCTATGCACTGGGGAACCAGAAGGTGTGTGTGGCTCACTGTATTATGCTACTCATTTTGTTATAATGGTCTGGAACACCACGCCCACACTGCTTCCAAGGTATGCCTCTGTTTCCCTGTTCTAAACTTTCTTTAGTATAAACTATTCCCGCACAGGAGTTGAGTAAGAGAATTCCTAATTGTCTTGCCTAATCATATAAATCATTATAACCCTGTTTCTAACTGAGCTGAGCTGACAGGCTGTCTTCTTTCTTTTCCAAAGATGTGCACTGAATTATTCGTAAGAGAGGAGTTTCAGCCCTTGGACCCTACCCAGGAGCTCATATTCCCCCCAGAACTCTTGGTAAGATTAATTGGGCATTTAATACTTGTTGAAATATCACTGTTTATACATTCTGTTTGATAAAACAATCTGATTTCCTGCCTGTGGCACTCTCACAATTTGAAAATGTTTGAGCTGACCAAGACACCTTCTCACCTAACTTTGGCTGACCCCTCAGGTGCAACCCCTGAGCAGATAGTAGTAGAAGCTATTTGTATAATGACTTTCATAATGACTCTTCATTCTCCTCTAGAAGGTGTCTCTATTGACTGTTGCAAATGATGTGGTTTTCTTGAGCTTCTGCCTTAGTCTTACCAACCGCTGTGGTTCAGGGACTCAGGATCCCTCCTTATTTTCTCTCCCTCCTCTCAAGCCATGTTTCCACTTTCCTCTCAGTCGGCCTGTAGCCATATTTTACAAAATTGCTATTTCCAAAGAGATTCTTATCTATTTAGTCATTCTGCCAGCAAGTGTGTAGTCATTCAGCAATGTGCCAGGGGCTCTTCTAAATACTGACTGTGTATTCAGTTAGGGCCATCAAGTGTATTTCAACCAACATTAAGTCCCAGGTAAAAGAGTAAAAAAGCCTCATAGGATTTTCTGGGGTTGCACAATGGTTAAGTGCTCACCTGTTAAACAAAATGCCAGAGGCCGGGACATACGCACCCAAATAAAATCTATCTCCAGGAGAAAGAGATGATAATTTGTTTCCTTAAAACCTGACAGCCTTGGAAACTCTATGGGTTTTTAGTAAAGTCCTGGAACACTGAGTGTGCCAGTCATGAGAATACCTGGGGGAACAGTCTGAGCAATGAGAACAGCAAGGGCCAATTCCTGAGGTGGGAGAGGATGTGAGCTGATCATCAAGGAGGGCGGAGACCAGCCTGACTGGAGTGGAGTGAATGAGTGCAGATCATGCCGGTTCTTGTGTTGCTTGGCTTTTATTCTGCATGAGATGAGAAGGTTTGGGCAACAGAGGGATAAGCTCCTACTGATGTTGCAATGACATTTCCTGGCATTTGAAAGTGGCCTGCAGAGGGGCAAGGGAAGGCGCAGATAGGAGAAGATGTCATCACTCAGGCGGGTGGCAACAGAATCAGGGTGCCAGGTGAAGGTGGTGAGAAACCTGTGGTTCTAGGTATAATCAGGAAGAGGAGCCCACAAGATCTGGGGACTTTGAGGGGGGTGGGGGTTGTTGGTTGTATAGGGTTTTTTTTAAGTTTCGTTTTATGTTGGCTTGCTTGCAGAGTTTGTATACTTTGTGCTTCACGCTATCCTACACTCACACTGCAACAAGATTTGTTAATTGATGTAATACAGGGTGTGTGAGAGAGAGATCAATGTCAAGGCTGACTCCAGGGATTTGGGCCTAAAACAACTCAAAGGATGGAATAACCATTTACAGAGAGGAATAGACCCCCAGAAAAGCAGGATATAAAGAACTCATTGGGTATAAGGAGTTCAGTCTTGGCTATGTTAAATTGGACATGCCTGTTATGTGTCTAAGCCCTGGTGGTGTAGCACATAGTGTATCAAACCATTAATTATAAGGTCAGTAGTTGGAATCGACTCTTGCTCTGCAGAAGAAAGGTGGGTAGTCTCCTCCTATCAAGATTTTCAGTCTCAGAAATGCAATGAAGCTATGCTGTGAGTTGGAACCTGCTCAACAGTAGTGGGTTTGGAGTTTTATTATACATCTAAGAGATTGCATAGATATCAAATATATGCATTTGGATTTCAGAGAAAGAGTTCAGGATAATGATATTGTTTTGTTGTTATGTGCTATCGAGCCCCCTCTGACTCCTAATGATCCTATGTACAAGAGCTCTGAACTCTGCTCTATCCTGAGCCAGTCTCACTGTCTCTGACATACCTTCCCCATTACCCCAGCTACTGTGTCACTCCATCCCATCTGAGGTTTTCCTCTCCTCCTCTGTCCTTCCACCCTTTCAAGGATGATATCCTTCTTCAGACACTGTCCCTCCTGGCCATGTGCCCAAAGTCTGTGAGATGGAGTTTAAAATCTTTGCCTCCAAGAAGCAGCCTGGTTTCACTCTCTCCAGGTTAAAACTGTTTGTTCTCTTGACAGTCAATGATATGTTCAATACTCTTCTCCAGTACCACAACTCAAAAGCATCAATTCTTCTTCTGTCAACTGTAGTCCTTGTCGTGCAGCCCTGTCGGCCATAAGTTTAGCACGTGTGTACGGGGTGCAGTGGGGTCCCCATCGTCCATGTGGGATCTCCTGCATAACTTAGAGGCATGTCTTCTTCTTCTGTCAACTGTAGTTACTATCCAGCTCTCTGATGCATAGCAAGTACTTGTGACATGAATTAGGTATACCATTGTTTTAGGAGCATTATTAAAATTATTCTTTTTAAAGCCTTGAGACTAAGTTATGTTAAATGAATCCATACTGAAGGGTTAATGACAAATACTTTTGTCATTGTTATTCACAACAAAAGAGCTCCTTTTTAGCAATCCTTAGCTTCAAGGGGTGAACATTTGACTATGGAAGTTCAAGCATTAGTCAATGAGTATACCTGGCATCTTTTTTTGACAAGTAGAAGCCAGGTTTTAAGAATTTCTACAGGTGTATACTACCATCTGGAACCTGACATAATCCAAGAAAATGCATGTACATACATACCTGTCATTTGCCCTTAGAGAATGTTGGAGAACCCAGAAAAACGCACCTTTACTTTTCATGGAGAAAGAGTCACTTGGATCTCCCCTGGGACCCTCAAGGAGCTCCTGGAGCTGAAAGTGAAACACCCTGAAGCCCCCCTCATCCTGGGCAACACCTCACTTGGTAAGTGCCTACAGCATTTCTCCTCCCACCATTAATGCCACTTAGGGGGTTCCTGGCCTCTTATCAATTCTAGGTCTACAAAAATTGTCCTTTTCTCAGTTCTAGGTCAAAAATTGCATCTTTTATAATGAAGCCAGTGGTTTCCAACATGGGATGATATATGCATGTCTCAGAAATTTGCAGGATGACTGATTGAAATGTGGAGAATTTTGAGTTGCTTTGGATTTCTGTTTTGTTTTGGTTTTGTCATTTGTCTCATCCTTTTTTTCTTTTGTTTCTGCTCAATATTAACTAGATAGAATAGTTTTATCAATTATATACAAGATATCATAAAACTACTACTACACACAACCATTTATGCACCCAGTTTAAGACTGAGTGCTTTGAAGGCCCCAGGGATCCTTCCTCACTGCTTACCAGCCTGAACTGCATATTGGTCTACCTCTTTCTTTGTTTTATAATTATACCATATGTCTATCACATATGTTAACACTAAACAATGTCATTTCTTTCTGCATATTTTTTAACTTTCTAGAAATAGATTAACACAGTGTTATTCTCCTGCAATTTGCTTTGTTTATTCAATATTCTTGATCTGAGATTGACTCATATTGTTGTACTTAGCAACATATGGCACAATATGGCTCAGTTTAACCATCCATTCTGTTGTTGCAGGACACAGAGCTGTGCCACGTTTTGGTTATTATAAATATTCTTGTATATATCTCTTGATGCCCACTACTAGACACAGCTTCTCATCCTTTTTTGTTTTCTATTTTTACATAAGTATATGTGTGAATAAATCAGTATACATATGTTGTGAAAACATATTGTTGTGAGAGGTGCATGGCCACTGCCTCTACGTCTCAACACACTTATTATTATTATTATTATTATTATTACTACTACTACTACTAATGTGTCTCTCTGGAGACTAAGGTGCTCCTGATACAGGCCATGGTCTTTGCAA